TGCAGCTCTACCATTGCCCCTGTTAGGCCTGGTGCAGACCCTTCAGCTTGGACACACCTTTTACACGGACCGCTGCACTTACGACACAACTGCAGAGCCCAAAATTATGAAGAAGTACAAGCTGGTTTGCACTGGCCCCTGGCTTGAGGCTGCCTGCCAGAAGTGCACCTGCACTGGCCAGCATATCCAGCTCATGGTCACGAAACACCTTGAGGATGGCCGCAGTCAAAAGACAGGTGTGAAGCCACTGATGGCAGAGTCTGGCATGTACCCTCCCAGAATGGGAGCTGCAATTGTCCAGGCCTGGCAAGGGCGCAGTGCGTGGAAGCATCCTTTGCAGGGACTTCGGCCTGGAAAGAGAGCACTCTCAGCAACGCCAGATGTATGGGGCCCATCTGCAGCGGCCAGCCAGCATGGTGACCCATGGCAGGACTGCCCTCAGCCTCCCATGCCAAAGGCGTGCAAGGCAAAGTGCCAGAAGGCGCAGCGTTTGGACTCCCTGCACGCCCATGATCCCTGGGCTGATGCTCCTGCCCCAGACGGACCCACAGATCCTGAGCAGGACCCTTGGGCCGAGTGCGAGACTTCCTTTGAAGATGACCCGTGGAAGGGGGTGGTCTAGTAGTCTAGCTCTCCAGTACTTCAGTTGGCAGAGCAGGAAAATGAGGAAGCTTTATGCGTGTGCCATTGCAGTTAGCTTGTCATGCTGCGGGATATGTTTTGGCTCCAGAGGCTGCCCAAAGGCTCCAAGGCCATTTGCACCGGCCATGGAGACTGACCCATGGGGGGACCCGTGGGCCAACTGCGACAAGCCTGCTAGGAAGAGAAAGTGGAGCCAGATGGCCCTTGTGCTTGCAGCTGAGGATGTAGATCCCTGGCAACATTGCAGTGAGCCAGCCAGGCCCCAGTCACGAAAGGTGGCCCCTGAGGCTGCTATTGTTGGCGCGATGTCAGGGCGGAACAACGAGCCAGCAAACATGTATGAGCAAAATGGAGTTTCGCCAGAGCGCATCCACAGTGTTGTTGGCAGCAAGTGTCCGCGCAGAGCGTGTGCCCGGCCAGGCTGCCAGCCCTCTGCCCTGCCATTTGAGAAGTGTGCAAAGTTCTTGCGACAATTCTGGGATCTCTTGCCACAAGAACGAAGCCACCTGCTCCGATGCGCGTACTACAGCAGTCTCGGAGATGGCTGCGCCAGTGCTCCAGTCTGTCAGCAGCAGATGGACACCAGGGCCACATGGCTCATTGCTGAGACACAGGTGTGTGTCCGGCGCTTTTGCCAAGTTATTGGCTGCAGCCAGCGCACCCTGCGCAAAATGATTGCCGGGACACCTGACATGCGCAAGTCTCGCCTTGGAAAGTGCCTGGAACCTGCCCTCCGCCCTGCAGTCCAGACCATGAAGGTTGATACCTTTTTCCGGCAACTGCACTCCTCTGCAGCAGAGCCAATGCTTGAGGAAGAGCAGGTCTTCCCAGCCATTTTCATGCAAGCAGGCGATGTGGTCAAGAAGCTGCCTGGCGCCTCCAGTGCTCCAGTGGCTTCAGTGGCCCAGTCAGGGAAGAAGAACGCAGTCACCAAGTCAAGCCTGGCATCCATAGAGCCCTGGGATGAGTGGAGCTTCGACTGGCTACAAACCCCGCCGCTAACACTGGCGGCATCAGCTCAAGTTTTGGGGCTGCCTGTTCGGCGCATCCAGCACTGCAGGCTCGCGGGTGTTTTGCAAAATAGTCCCAAACATGGCCAGTTACTTTCAGGATCCCACTGTCCCAAGAATGGGCACTGAAAACACACGCCCATTGCAGGCTTGTGGACCTGTACTGGCAGATGACAGCAGAGTGGGAGACTCTGCAGGCTGCCAGGCCAGATGTTGGCCCCCCCCCCAGCTATGACACCTTCTGCAAGAGGTACAAGAGCCACTGGAAGTTTGTGCTGCTCATGCGGAAGACCAGCCAGCATGGGCAGTGCAAGGTCTGCTTTGACCTGCACCTCCTCCTGAGGAACCCTCGAGAGGACTGGGGGGTCAAGATCCGTGCTGCCAGGGACCTTCGCGAGCACCTGCGGCAGCAGTACCTGGACCGCTCCATCTACTGGAGTCTGAGGTGGTCAAGCTGCCATGATGACTCTGTCCTGACAATCATCATTGACTCAATGGGGAAGTTTGGCACAACGTGGCCTCACTTGGGGTACGACCGCCCATCGAAAGAGACAGAGCACCTTGTGCGGCCAAAGCTGGTCCTGACAGCTGCTGGTCGAGCAGCCCGGCATCCCACTGGAGGATCAGCTCCTTGTAGCCATCTGCACCAAGGGAGGTCTGGAAAAAGCCGTCGAAGTGCGCCATGGCCTGCGCCATCCAGTAGACCTCAAGCTCCTGGCCGTTGTCCCTGAAGGCTGCTGCCCCAGCCTGGGATTTGATGGCAGGAATCTGTCCAGCCTCGATCACCTGACGGACCTTGTAGTCCCACTTGCCCGCCACCCTCTTGGCCCACACCGCCACCTTGGCCCAGGAGTGAGCGTGGACGGCGTGCCACGTTGGATTCTCTTCCTGCTTCCTCAGGTGTTTGATGGCCCCTTGAACACCAGAGCCAGCCAGCCGACACAAGTGTTGACATGGAATTGGAAACTGCCAATCACTGACAAGTGGCACAGGGTTGGGGTAACTCACGCGCAGGAACTCCTTCGTGAGAAGGTTCAGCGGAAAGGCAGTATGCTGCGGCGCCTCCGTCTGGTGGGCCGCCGCAATCACCTTCCTTGTCTCTTTCCTTGCAGCGTCAAGGAAGAGGATTGCAGAGGTCTCCTCTGTGGACAGACGAGCCTTTTGCACTGACAGCTTGTTTTGCTCTGCAATCAGTGCTCGTAGCTGCTGCTCCCTCGACCTGGCTGCCAGAACAAGATACTGGACAACTGGATTACTGGAACACTGGACCACTTGAACACTGGACCACTTGCAGGCAAGTAGCCCTCGGCCTGGCCCTCGCTTGCTCAAGATGCGCTGGTATACAAACCAGTGCTGAAAGGGCGAGGGCTGTGTGCGCTGGGCCGCGGCCCGCTTCTCGCCCAAGCTCTCCAGCATGTGAAGGTCCACATCTCCTTGAGGATGTGATGTAGAGTGTAGAACAAGAGACTTCATCAGCCGCAGCGCAAGATCCTTCTAAAGATCTGGGTCCGACTCAGCAGCGCGAAGCACGCCAAGCTTCTCAGCGAAAATTGCAAACATGTAGCAGGATGCAACTGTGGCTGCCCCTTGGGAAACCCCAACTGAGAAGTCGCCGACAGGACTTCCAGCGCCCACAGGTGACGGGTTCAAAGCGCACGGGAAAGTAAACAACACCTCAATGGGGAATTTGTGGGTCTCGTTGCCTCGCTTGAAGGTCATGATCTTCTGCAGGTTGTCCCGCCTTGGCTTCGCAAAGGGGCGAGATCAATCACTGTCTACACATGAATAACAGCCTAGCTGCACTGCATAGGACTGCACTGGGCCCTTCAGCTGGCTGTCCTCCAAGAAGCCAAGCTGTGTGATCTCCAGCTTGAATCGGCGAGGAGTGCCATCTGGCATTTCAAAATCGGAAGGCACTGCATTGGTGAGGTCAGCAGCTGGCCGCAGTCCCAGGATGTTGCGGCACTCTTGCTGCAAAGTGGCCAGCTTGCCCTTGAGCTCCACCCGCGCCTCTGCAGTTGGGTACTCCGACTTCATCCAGTCGTGGACACTTGACCACTTGCCAGTCCCCATGGTCTGGCAGAGGTTGTCAAAAAGCGTGGCGTACACATCATTCAGCTTGTCCTGGCACATTTGAGCAGGCACCTACCTCGCACTGACCTAGCCCCCAGTCCTGCAAGGTGGCCATGAGGCACTGGACCACAGGAACACTGGAGCTGGAGCAGGAACACTGGAGCTGGAGCTTGAGACAAAAAATGGGCTGTGAGCAGGCTGACGTGAATTCTGCACATGATGGTGGCCCAATGGCACGCAAGGCTGCTTTACAAGCACTTTGTTCAGCTGTGGCTCGCAGCCCCTCTGCAAGCGTTGGTTTGGAGAGCTAAACAGGCTAATGAATCTGTGCCACAAGCTCCCAAGTTCTGTCTGGCAAGTGCGGAAAATACGCATTGCTGCTGGGCAGCACTGGGCCTTGACTGTTTGCACGACCCTGCTGCCTCCCCAGCCACTGGAACTGCACGCACTCATAGCTCCGGCTGTACACAGCTGCTTTGAGTGCATCCCCTGCCTGTGGCAAATTGTACTTTTTCTGGCAAAGTGTGGCCAGTCTCAAAAAGCTCTTAATCTGGTCCTCACTTAACTCTTTCCTTGCGTGCACCTCGCGAGGCTGTGAGCCAGCGATTCTTGCACCACGTCCAGGCGGTAAGGCCAACACTGGCGCCTGCTGAAGGCAAGTGTCGCGAACAAAAGCTTTGACACAAATGTAAACACCTTCAGCTTGGACCTGCTCCTCCATGAGGCTCTTGTAAGGCGCCAGCAGCTTGTTCCCATTCATGACCATGAAGCAGTGTGGGGATGGCACGCCATGACGGGTCTGGAATGCCCCTGACAAATCCTCAGACATGCGAGATGCCAACAGCAGCCCTCCAAGCAAGCTGAGGGCGGGGCAACACTGAGTGGCCGAAGCCAGCTGGTGTAGTTGTGGATTGCAGAGACCATGCTCGAGGACATCACCTCGCCCTTGTTCTCCACTCGTGGCTGCAGCTTGCCCTGAATGATCTCCAGCATTTGCTCGGGGCTCTGCCAGACTGGGGCACCTGCAAGGATGGCCTGCAGTCAGGGGACAAGCTCAGCCTTTTCCCACAACGAATTGCGCTGCATGGTGGGGTGAACTCAGGGGCGCACCTTGACTATGGCAAAAAGCTGGTCCACGTCTTCGTGGGTGTGGCCAACCATGAGGTGGAACAAGCAAATGGTAGCGAAGTACTTGTGGGCAACAAGAAAGCACAAGTAAAGGAGAGTGTTCTGGTTCTTGGCCTGTGCAGTGGTATTGTCAGCAACCAGCACAAGATGCTGGGGAACCACTCGACCACTAGAGCACAGGTGCTGCCAAGGCGCAGCTCCGTGGTGCTCACTCTCTGAGCATGCAAACATGAAGGTCCCCCATCCATGCGCCAGAGCAGCTGATAGGTGCAGTCACTGCCAAGAGAAAAGAGTTCAAGGCGAAGGACTTTGTTTTTGTGGTCCAGGACTCCAGTGCTCCATCCCGTGATTTCCTGAACGACGCCACCTCCCAGCAGAAGTGTGAGGCTCTGCTCAAGATGCATCGTCAGCTGACTCATGAGCAGAAGGCCTGGCGCACACACCTGCAAAGGCTCAAAGCATTTGAAGACTTCGAGCTCAGCGACTGGAACACGCAAACTGCTCGGCAAGAGGAGAAGCTGGAAGAAGCCTGGTCCACGCACAGCCTGGCTTTTTACCAGGTCCACGAGGCCAGTGACATTGCGGCGGCCATGCGCCTGGTGGCCAGCCACCGCCAGCTGGCAGACGCTCTCACCCCCCTCGCGCGCGCAGATGTTCCAGTGGTCTGCGAATGGAACATCCCAAAAGCTGGCGTTGATGCGTCAAAGCACATTGGCCCTGTGGTCCAACACATTGCCCTCTCGTGCAGCTCTGATCCCCAGATGACCATCCACATTGTGCCACTTGGGCCTTGTTTGGCACAGCGTTTTTCTTTGTTGATAGTTCCCATCATGCAGCTGTTGCCCATTCAGCTGTTGCACATTCACTGATTCCTGCCAGTGCGCCAGGATCCCGCCGTGCCAGCCAATGTATGGCAAAGGCGAAGCCACTGGTGATCAGCGGCTTGAGAGCATCCAGCAGCACATTGACCGCTGGCATGCCGAACTTGTGAAGCCCCAGCACAAGCTCCTGGTGCGCAAGGTCCACGCCACCTGGGATGCTGCCACCTTCTACTCGCCTGACCGTGAGCTGGGCTGGGAGGTTTGGCTTGTGCTGTCAGAGTCTGTGCGCGCACGCAACAAGACCCACGTGTACAACCACATCTTTGGCAACAGCACCCTGATGAAGAGAGGGGCCTTCCCCACATTCCTGCAGTCCATGGAGCGACGGGACTTCAAGAATTGGAGGGTTCCCCTGGGCTTTGATGGGAGTGGCAATGTGCACCGCAACCAAGCTACTGAAATGCTTCAGTGGTTCAGTGGCTCAGTGCTGCACAGCTGCATCATTGAGGCTCTGGCTGCCAATTCCATCCTCACAGATCAGAGCCGCGTGCAGGTGGCTGACTGCTTCATGCTAGACGACCAGCCTGTCGCCAGCTGCATCAGCCTGAATTGCCAGGAGAAGGCGGGCGTCCCCAGAGTGGCCTACATTGGGGTGGCCTGGTGGCACGAGAAGAAGCTGACCAGGCAGGCTGTCTCAACAACATAAGGTTCTGTGTCTTTTCCAAGCCACTACTTCTCCCCAAAGCCCTGTGAGGGAAGTGGTCCAGGAGAATGTGGCGTCCAGCGCCTGTGCCATGCTCAAGCAAAGGCTGCGGCAGAAGACCTACCGTGTGGACACTGGAGTTGCCATCCCAGACGTGCAGGACAAAGCGGGCAGCAAGCCAGGAGCTCGCCCAGAGCACGATCCAAAGGACTTCGAGCTGACCTTTCCACGTGCCAACCTGGAGCTGCCGCTGAAAGTCCCAACCATCCGCCAGGCCGAGGCACTGGGGAATGCCAGCGTTCCGGATCCAGCTAGCCCCCAGGATGCCACATTGACATTGACATGGGCACGCATGCGGCAGCTACATGACAATGAGTTTTGTCCCAGTGGATTTGCCTATGATCCAGACACACCCAACAAGCGCAAGGCTGACCCTCAGACGGAAGGTGCCCGCCCAGCTGTCAAGCTGACACCTGTCACAGCGCCAGATGGGCTGCTGCAGACTGGGGTGGCCTCCAGCGAGTGGCAGGTGCTGCTCCATCCAAATGGCGAGCTGTTCCTCAAGGCCCTCAAGGATGGATCCACGTCCAGCTCCGAGACCTTGTTCTGGGTCAAGGGCAGCTTCAAGGTTGGGGCAGTTGCCAAGGAGGAGAAGCAAGCTGCAGGGTCCCAGCATGTGCCAGCCGAGCTTTCAGAAAGCTCTCGAGTCACACTGGCCCTTGAGCCACCCCAGCCGGACAAAGAAATCCCGAAGTTCCCCATCACAGTGGACGCTGCCCTGACCTGCCTGGCTGGTCACCGCCTTGCAGTCTCCCAGATCTTCAAGCACAAGCATGTGGACCAGGCGCAGGGCACGCAGAAGTACAAGGTCACACCCCTGGAGGACATCGTTTTAGTGCCAGACACAAAGCCTCTTACTGGACTGAAGGGAGTGGTGGCCACTGACATGCTGTCCACCTACGCCAACCTCTCCAAGCTCCAGAACCTTGAGGTCATCAACACACTGAAGTACAATGTGAGCACCAAGGGCTTGAAGCAAGGGCTGCCAGCTGTGCACTTCACCAGCTGCTTCCAGCTGAAGGAAGGCGAGACGTACAAGCTCTGAGTGCTTCAGTAGCCTAGTTCTCCAGTGGTGCTGGGCAGTTTTGATGGCAGCGGCAGCACCAAAACCCAAGGCAGTGCAACAAAAGGCTCAAAAGAGGGCACATGCACATGCGCAGGCAAACTTGTTGCGGAGGAGCATGCAGCTTGACTCTGAGCCGTTGAAGTGCTACGCAGCCATTTTCTCCTCAGCTAGTGCTCTAGGCGTCTAGTGGACTAGTTGCTCACTTGGCTGCAGCTCTCCAATGCAGCAGCCATCTCTGACAGCTGCTCTGGGAGCACATCAAAGTCAATTGTCATCCAGGGCACCCTCTCTGCGAGGGAGCAAGATATTGCTGCCAAGGTTGAGCGCTCCCTCCAGAAGCAAGATGAGTCCGAGAGTTTGCTGCAGAGCCAGGCCACTGGTCAGGAGACAGCACCAAAATCCTCGAAGCGCTTGAAGCGACCAGCGCCTGTCATGAAGCGACCAGCTGGCAGTATGAAGCGGCCAGCCGCCATTGTGAAGTGACCAGCAGCTGCGTGGCAAAAGTGCGAGCTCAGTTGACACATAGCTAGCGTGCAAAGCCTTGAGCCCCCACTATATGGCTCCCTGGGATTGGAGCTCCTTGTCTTTCTGAGGCCCGAGCCATCATTTGGAGGGAAGGACGTGGAGGCGCGGCTCCTTTGGGGACAGTGCGCAGGGAGAGGGCTGCTGGAGCAGAGGGCATGCGTTGCAAGCTGACACTTGCAAAAGTCCTTTTTCAAGCGCAGTGCCATTGACGGAGGCCCGACTGTAAAACAATGGAAAAAACACAGAGCTAGAGCTACTAGCCACTCAGCTGCAGACACGCAACCACTAGAGCCACTAGAGTCACTGGAGCACTCAGTTCTTGATCTTCTTGATGTTTCCACACAGGCGCCTCACTGTCTCAGGCGCCATAGCTGGGGTCCAGCCAAGCACCTTGGACACCTTTTCGGCCAGTGGCCTCCATCCGAAGGCGCCCTTGTCCCGCTGGGCCTTGAGCACTTTGATCTGGTTCAGCTTGGAGCTTGTCACCTTGCAGCGCTCAAGAATTGATTTTGCTCCATTGACCTTGACGGCCCCCTTCTGTGTTTTCCTTTTGCTTGTCTTCGCTTTTTCCATGAGGCCTTGCTTCAGGTGATAGACCACCAGGTCGCGATTAAATTCCTGCGCCGCGCAGTGTATCTTGCGTAGGAAGGACTGCGCTGGAGTGGGGTCGTGAGTGAAGAGGTGTGGAACATCCTGGCAGACCAGCTCGACATTGTTCTTTTTGCTGACTGCGTAGGCTTGCTCGGCCACCAGTTGTGAGCGTGCAAGTGCGCGAGCGCTTTCCAGGAACACTTTCACCTTGATGGTTCCATCCTGGCTTGAAAGCTTGGGGTGTGTCCTCTCCAACAAGCCCCGGAGCTCCTTGCGCTGCTCGTATGGCAGGCTTCCACTGATGATCTCGGACACCTTGAGCTTCACATCTGCGGCTTCCTTTTTCGCAGCGGCCCCAGCAGCAGTGGATTGACGCTTCACTGAGCCAGTCACTTTCTTTCCATCACTGCTTGTTCGAGTGTACACCACCCCAACTGTTTTGGGCATGCCAGCTGACCACTGGACCACTGGATCACTGGGAGAAACTTGATTGCTACTTCTGTACAGAGCTGAAAGAGGAGCCAAGACAGGGGGTGCAAGTGCCAAGCTGCTGTTGCAAGCGCCAAGCTGCTGTTGCGTTGCAAGTGCCAAGCTGCTGTCTTGCATACCAAAGTTTTTAAGACACCCCCGTCATTATGAGACACCCAGTTGTTTCTGAGACACATGGGCACGCATCATGTCAGTCCTTCTTCTTAGTGACATCCACGATGCAATGCGGGTACCTTCGCGTGTCAGTGTATTGGGAAGTTGCGTGAAGGCAATTGAGGCAAAACCAAAAGTTTGCCTCACTTGCTTTTCCGCAAGTTCCCCAACAAGACCTGACTGCACATTTGAGATGCATCAGCACACCAGGAGCATCCTGCACTGAGGCGCACAGTGAAGCAGTTGAGAACGCGCGGCTGGGAACAGTTGGGAAATCACTGAGAACTAGCTGGTAAAGAGTTGATAAAGAGTTGAGAACAGTTAAGAAAGAGCCAATGTGACAGGGAAAGAGTTGAGAAACAGCTGACTACACTGTGAAAAAGTAGCTGGTAACCCTGTTGAGAACTAGTTGGGAAGATTGGGAAAGAGTTGAGAAGTGGCTGGGAAGCAGCTGGAAACACTGCTGAGAAAGAGCTGGGAACAATCCACAATGTATTGAGAGCCTGTCGCTGACACAGTTGAGAAGCCGTTGAGAAACAGTTGAGACACATTTGCGAAACAGTTGAGAAACAGTTGAGAAACAGTTGAGAAACAGTTGAAAAACAGTTGAGAAACAGTTGAGAAACAGTTGAGAAACAGTTGAGAAACAGTTGAGAAACAGTTGAGAAACAGTTGAGAAAAGCTGATAAATAGTTGAGAAACAGCTGATGTCACGACATAATTGAGAGCAAGTTGAGACACACTTCGGCAGTGCTGAGAACTGATAATAGGGAAGTAGATGAGAGCATAGTTGAGAGCAAGCCGAGAGGCAGTTTGGACAATTTGGCAATGATAGGGAAGCAGCCGCAGTTGGGGGAAAGCCCCAAACACAGCAAAATGGGCAACAGCTTAGAAGCAGCAAAAGAGCAGCTAAAGCACATGTGCCTTGCATGTATGCGTGTCATCACATGGCAGGGGTGGTGTGTGAGAAGGCAACTGAAATGAGAACTCTCAGTTCAGTTGCTTTCTCACTGCACCACCCCTGCGTATGCACCTAAATGCACATGGCCCTGCTGAGGACACACTTGGCTCCAGGCATAGTGGCCCAGTTGAGGCTATGCTCCTGGCTGGTCGCTGAGCCTCAGCCACGCAGTTGCTAGAGAGCAAAGAGTTGAGAAGCAGCTGGCAGCACAGTTGGGAAGGATCCCAGAACAGTTGAGAAACAGTTGGGAAGATGTTGGCATCGCAATTAAGAAAAAGAGCTGGGTCATTGAGAGCCAGTCAGTTGTCAACTCAGCTATCAACTGCTTCCCAGCTGCTTCCCAACTTGTTCTCAACTATTTCTCAACTGTTTCTCAACAGCTCTCAACTGTTTATCCAATCTTACCAACCACTAGCAGCCACAGCTGCTTGGCAGCTGTCTCTCAACTTTTTCCAACTCTTTCTCAACTCCTTCTAAAAGTTGATACTGAATTGAGAACCAGCTGACACAGTTGAGAAGCTGCTGAGAACCAGCTGTGAGGCAGTTGAGAAACAGTTGAGAAACAGTTGAGAAACAGCTGTTTATCGGTGAGGACACTCTTGGCTCCAGGCGCAGTGGCCCAGTTGAGGCTAGGCTCCTGGCTGGTCACTGAACATCAGCCGCGCAGTTGCTAAAGAGAAAGAGTAGAAGCAGCTGATAGTGTGAGAACCAGTTGGCAACATGGCTGAGAAATAGTAGGGAAACAGTTGGCAACTTTTAAAGGGAGTTGAGAACAGTTGGGAAGGACACGAGAAAGAGTTGAGAAACATTTTAGCATCAGGTGATAACACAACAGAGAAATAGTTGAGAAGAGTTGAGAAGCAGTTGAGAAGCAAGTGGGAATCAGTTGGTAAGACTGTTGAGAAAGAGCTGAGAGCAGTTGAGAATAGAGGAAATTGAGGACCAAAGGGCAACACGGTTGAGAAACAGCTGATAGCACGGTTGGGAACTTGGGAAAAGTTGAGGACACTGCTGACAGCAAGTTGAGAAACAGTTGAAACAGATTGCAAACTGATGGTGAAATATTTGAGAGCCTAATTGACATAGCCAAGAACAAGTTGAGAAGCAGCTGGCAAAAGATTGGAGATGCAGCTAGGCCACAGTTGGGGGAAAGCTCCAAACACAACAAAATGGGCAACAGCTTAGAAACAGCAGAAGAGCTGCTAAAGCACATGTGCCTTGATGTATGCGTGTCATCACATGGCAGGGGTGGTGTGTGAGAAGGCAACTGAAGTGAGAGCACTCTCATTTCAGTTGCTTTCTCACTGCACCACCCCTGATATGCACCTAAATGCACATGGCCCGGCTGAGGATGGTCTCTGAACGTCAGCCACTTGTTGCGCATTGCACTGCAGACCTTCGAGTCATTATTCTCAAATATGTCAAATGCTGATAGAGTTAGCGTTGTCACTCAGCACCCTCACACACTCCAAGGTCAAACAACTGAGCTGGGCAGCGGGCTCGCGAAGCTCTTGCAGGCCTGGGCAGCATGGAAGCATGTTGAGGCATCATGCAGAGGTTGCTACATGGTGTGAGCTGCGCATGTAGCAGAAAGCCGCACTTGCCGCAGTTGTTTGCCAGCTGCAGAGAGCTCACACACTCATGTCTCATCTCACTCTTGTTGCATTCTTCTCACATGTGGTCATGTGGTCATGTGGTCATGTGGTCCAGTGCGTATGCTCTCTCTGTGCTGCTGGCCATGCCCGTCCGACTTTTGCCGGGGCGAATTTCTTTGGAGTGCCTGGAAGAGTACTACCAGCTCAAGGTGGAGGAGGATGCGAGGGAAGCTGCGGAACTTCTGCGGAAGCCAGGACCAAGCAGTGAACTCAAATGTGCCAACATGCTGTGAAGCTTTGCCATGAGAGTATATATATATATATGTGTGTGTTTGTGCGTGTGTGTGTGTGTGTTGTGTTGTGTGTTTTGTGTGCTTGTGTGTGTGTGTGTGTTTTGACAAGTGTGTGCGTGTGCTTCCGTGTGTTCTTGCACCAGTGCTGCGGAGGACCTACTGAAGGCAGTGCGTACTTCTCACCCATCCTGTTTTATCCAGTTGAGCCTGGTCCCATTGACTTTGCCCCCAGGATGCAAGTGCTCATGACTACTCAATGCATTTTGCAAGCCCTGAATGCCCTGCCATCTGAGGTTCAGGTGTGCCTGGAGCAGTTTCTTCAGTGGCAGAAGGAGAGTGCATCAGAGCTGCTGCAGCAAGAGCTGAGTGAGG